GGTCAAGGTCACGGAAAATAAAAAAAATTATGTATTAACATGGGGACCGATTTTTCATAATATTTTTTCTCTCTAACTCAGTCAAAAAAATGATTTGATTTTGATGAAACTTGGTGAATTTATGTAAAATATTATTCCTCATTGTTTTGCCAAAAATTGTCCGCATCCATTGATAACAAAGGACATACGGACACATTTTCGTATTTTTGAGAGCCGAATATGATAAACGCTGCGTGGCGGAGGTATGCGCTCTACCGAGTGCCACTGTAGTTTATAATGTTTTTTTTAATCTGAATATCGGCCCGGCATGGCCAAGTGCTTAGGGCACTCGACTCGCAATATGCGGGTCGCGGGTTCGAATCTCCGGCACACCAAACATGCTCGCCCTTTCAGCCGTGGGGGCGTTATAATGTGACGGTCAATTCCACTATTCGTTGATAAAATAGTAGCCCAAGAGTTGGCGGTGGATGGTGATGACTAGCTGCCTTCCCTCTAGTCTTATACTGCTAAATTAGGGACGGCTAGCGCAGATAGCCCTCGTGTAGCTTTGCGCGAAATTCAAAACAAACAAAATAATCTGATTATTCATATTCATCACAATTTTATCACACACTTTCTTTTGAAAGAAAACATTTTATTAGATCTGTCGAAATTACAGAGATGAAGAAGTATTTAAATAAGGCCTTGTTATAAAAAAACGCTTAAGTTTTAAATAAAGCCACGTTATTAAAACATTCTTTAGTCTTTATGTAAAGCCATGTTATAAAAAGGCCTTAAGTCTTTAAATATAACCATTTTATAAAAAAATATTCCAAACGATTAAAAGTGTTTAGTTTCAAAGACGTTATTCACACAATACTGTTTAACATTAAATTTATCTTAAAGAGAGAGAAAATAAACACACAAACACCAGCACCTACAAAATTCCCAGATTTTTACATATTTTTATGATCCCAATTTCCACGAAATCATAATAACAAAAAAGAAAAATAAGAGCACACTTTCCATTCCAAACTTTATTTTAGGGAGTGTAACAGACGAGAATATTAAATGACAGTTTTATTTTGATACAACAAAAATCATTAGTTCACGTTCCTCAGACTCGAACGTAGTTAAGAAAAGTGATAAGTCTACTCCGTACTGAAAACCAATCGTGATTTTAAAATGACGGACATTTACTTGAAAGTATTAATTAGTTCTTGTTGATTCAAATTTTTCATGTACTTGTTAACACTAGAATCTTCAGTAATCATTTAAAACACGTACACAAGAAAATTTGAAATATTTTCAGTATGTAGTGAATTTCCTTTCTTCGAGTCATGAGAACAGTCACGTTTTGAGAGAAAAGCAGTTAAAGGTCGTTAAAAATGTCTTGATTATATATCCAGTTTTGAATATTTTTATGTCATCATTGGTATTTTACATGTATAGATACGGTTTAATTAAAGCAGTGCACGTCGAACGTGCTCTTTAGGCATGGTTTCTTACATAACAATGCGGTGTGAACTAGTGAGAATTTCAAACGTACAAGAACATTCAAACAGCAAAGTCTAAAGTATTTTCCACAAGCTCGTGATGAGTCTGTTTAATCGTTTACAATTTCGTAACATTCATTTCAAACTTCTAACTTTTACTTAAACAAAAAAATGAGTAGCTCCGCAGAACGAGAAAAAAAGGCTGAGGGGCAGTTTTTTATTTTTACGTGTTCACACATTCACTTTCAAATAGCAAAACAAAGTTAAAAAATTTAAAAAAACCCGTCACTTGTGAATTTGCACAGAAAATTTCAATAGTCTGTAATATAGTTAAGTAATATTGTTTAACGTATGTCTGTTTTTACTATAAGTTATGTATATAAATATTTTGTACTTAAGATTGAGACTGCACATCGTTGGAAAAATACATGAAAAAGTTGGTAGTCAGGGAAAAGTCAAATATCAGTGGATTATCGTAAATACATTGGTTTATATGTATTCTTAATTATTCGTTGTTCTATTTTAATAGTTTACATTATATTTAATAAGCTGTTAAAAAATTTAAACGTGTTTGATTTAGTTTGTCATGTCTTACTGTACCATTCAGTGCCGTTATTTACCAAATTAATAATTTTAAGGGAACCAAGGTTTCAACACAGAAGACCATCGCAATAAAATCGGACCTATGATAATTTAAATGTTTAAAAATAGCTCCATTTTAATTGTGATGTCTCATTAAACTTGGTTTTCTTAAAATAATTAGATTTAACAAATTTCAGTTTAAACTATTAACCCTAAAACTTTATTTATTAAACTACAACGTTAACTATTAAACTTCATCTTTATCCATTAACTCACAAAGTTGATTTATTAAGCTTCAACTTTATATTTTAACCTTACGAAGTTTATTTATAAAATATGGTTTTGCAGCAATATAGATTTTGTTTTTACAGTGTTTACGCAGTTTCTCCATACTAAGTTAAAGAACTCATTTGATTCTTTAATACAAAAAGTTGGGATGGATAATAAAGATTACCTTGTCGATTACTCGGACTAACTTCATACGTTGTGGCTTAAATAGTTTGAAGCCATTTCAGTGAACACAGTTTATCCCAGAAGAGGGCTGAAACGTCATCATTGGCAATATTTTGTTTACAATATCAAGACACGAGAGCCATTTACAATTTTCTAACTTTTTAAACAAATACAATATTACTTTTAATTTACTAAATCAAATAACATTTATATTTATACATGTATATTACTAGTCCGAAATATAGGTTCCAAAGTTTCTGATAAAACTACGAAGTTATAAATTTAACCATAAAATACCGCAAATTTCTATTTACACATTCTTAGTTATACTTGTATATTTTCTAAGTGTTCAATATTCACTTTCGAATATTCGACCATTCACTAATGAAATGCAGAGCTTTTATTGGTTAATTGATAATTTAAAAATAATTCTGTACAAACATTATTAAAAGAGGGCACAAAAAAAGCCCCCTTTGTTAAGAGAAGTGTTACTTCTTGAATGAGTAACCGCCACGGATTGGATCTTCTTGCCAGAAGCGGAGATCGATTGATGGGATGTCCTCACAGCGCATGCGTGGATTGCTGTAAAGTAATTATATAGTTTGATAAATTTTTAGTAATTCTAAGGGGTTTAGCCCCAACAAATAAAAAAAATATAAAATACTTCTATTGCAACTTAAAGATAACAACTAGGCAAAAATAATGTATAGTACAGACATACCGCAGGGGATATATCGCACCCTTATTAAAAACTGTGACATTGTGGCTTATATGTCACATTAATCACAAATGCGAGATATTATGTTGACAATGTTCATTGAAGTAGTATTATGTTAAGAAAATAATTGGTGAAAACCCTAATTAAAAATAGTTAACAATGATAATGCACATAAACAGACACAATACACACTAGATGGGGCTAGAGAGCCTCATGAAGTAAAGTTGAAAACAGAACATTTGCAACTCATTCATGAGGTTGAAAATGAAGTTTTGTAATAAATTTTATAAACACAACGATACCAAAAATATATTTACAGAGTTACATCCTACCACACTAGCGTTTTTAACTTAAAGTAGAACCGAACAAGAAGCCGCACACTGTCTCCACGTATTCATTAGTTTTTATCACCCTCTCGTGGGCAAACACAGTTTTAAACTCAAATCTCGAATTCAAAAAATAACCAAGACATATTATTTACAAATTAAGATACGTGTAGTATTTACGTCACCATTTAGGACTTAAAATCAAACACTCTCTACCCAACACTATGCGCTAGTGGGTTGTGTATAAATACGCTACTGGTAGCTGTAAAGCTACCTGTATTGGCCTCATCTAGTGAGTATTTTTAACTTTCTTCATCAGACATAAGACTCCCTCACCCCATCTGACGTGTAGTTTTAGATGTATCTGTTATTGGAAGTATGTAGCCCACAGATTTAGGTTATTTTCGATTTACTGTAGAACAACTTCAAGAGATTAGAAAGTCCTACCAATCTAAGATTATTTGTGACAATGCTGACGATATACCAACTATCCAGGTGTACGCCATGAGGCTCCCTCACCCCATCTAGTGAGTATTTCACACCTTATTTATATACTTTTAACCTTTATTAGGATCCTTCTAAGTATCTAACGAGTATTTTTTTTAACTTTCTTCATGTGTTATGAAGTTTCCACGCCCTATCTAGTGAGTATTTTCCATTTTATTTATATACTTTTAGCCTTACGCTATTAGGTTTCTTCAGAATCTCTAATAAGGTTTTATTCATACCAAATGAGACTCCCTCAGATGTAATTAGTTCGTGGTCCTTGTTTTATAATTATTATATTCACTTTCCTAAACACATTTAATTACGATTAAGCAATTCTTAGAGAAATAAGATAATTTAATAAAGTTTGTTTAGACTTACAGATATTATATGTTAAAACATAAAGTTTATAAGACTTACAGATATTATACGTTAAAACATAAAGTTTGTTAAGACTTACAGATATTATACGTTAAAACATAAAGTTTGTTCAAAAAAGAGCGAAACAACTAATAATAACCAATAAATATAGTTCTGATTTATGATACAGATAGTTTTTTGTTCGTTAAGTTTGTTAAGACTTATAGATATTAAATGTTAAAACATAAAGTTTATTAAGAATTACAGATGATATAAGTTAAAACACAAAGTTTATTAAGACTTACAGATTGTTTGTTTGTAATTAAGCACAAAGCTACACAATGGGCTATCTGTGCTCTGCCCACCACGGGTATCGAAACCCGGATTTTAGTGTTGTAAGTCCGCAGACATACCGCTGTGCCACTGGGGGGCAACTTACAGATATTATATGTTAAAATAAAGTTTGTTAAGAATTAGATATTATACGTTAAAACATAAGATTTATTAAAACATAAAGTTTGTTTAAAAAAGAGCGAAACAACTAATAATAACCAATAAATGTAGTTCTGATTGATGATACAGATAGTTTTTTTTTAAATTTCAAACCATGCAGGAAAGGTTACCTGGAGTAAATGCAGATGGGAATCCCGAGTTTTCGTACCAGAAACGATCCCCCTTTTTTACATTCGCGAACTGACGAGCGATAATGCAAGCGAAAGTTGGTCCAATCAAACTTCCCGGTAGGCGGCGCTCTGAAATTCCACCGCTCCAAAGATCAATATCATCTGGATGTCTAAAACAAAAGTACTACCACATGAACTACAAAACTTAAGGACTTGAATTCCACTCGTGTTAGTTATCTAAAAATGTTAATACTTAAAATTCCATAAGCTCTAATTGTTAGCTAATGACAGGATACGTTTTAATTATTGAGGGTTAATTACATTTCAAACGTTTTAACTATCAACCAGCGATAGGATATTAACATTCCAAACATTTAAATTAAAACCAATAACAGGAATTTGGGATTCGAGATGTTGTAGTTATTATCAATTGACAGCATTGTCTTTCAATAGTAGTTTAAAAATCTACCAGAGGACAGTTATGTAGTATATAACTGAAGAAATCTATAACTTTTTCTTCGACTTTGGTGAGGAAATTATAAGCTAATTCAATTTTACCAACAGGATGTGACATTTATTGTTTCTATAGCCATTAAATTATTTTTTTCTTGAATGTTAATTAAACGAGTTACTGAAAACAGTTTGGTTACAAAACCCATTCACCACGTGACAATGCGAGACTAATACAAAAAGAACTGTTCAGTTTTGATTTTGCTTTTAAGCAAGAAATCTTTGTTTTACTGTAAGACTGATAAATTTAAACTTATCTTTCCTTTTTTTATCACCCACGGAACTGTTCAATCATTCGTTAACACCCAAGAACCTGTGCGACTATTGGTTGTCACCCACGGAAGTGTTTGATCATTGGTTGTCAACCACGGAAGTGTTTGATCATCAGTTAACACCAACGGAACTGTTTGGTCATTTAGCTAACACCAACGGAACTGTTTGGTCATTAGCTAACACCCACTGAACTGTTTGATCATTAGCTAACACTCACGGAACTGTTTGATCATTATTTAACACCGACGGAACTGTTCGATCATTAATTAACACCCACGGAACTGTTTGATCATTAGTTAACATCCACTGAACTATTTGATCATTAGTTGCCATCCACTGAACTGTTTGATCAATAGTTAACACCCACGGAACTGTTTGACCATTAGCTAACATCCACTGAACTATTTGATCATTAGCTAACACTCACGGAACTGTTTGACCATTAGCTAACATCCACTGAACTATTTGATCATTAGCTAACACTCACGGAACTGTTTGACCATTAGCTAACATCCAC